ACTGGCCCCAGTACTGAGCTCTGGGGAACACATGTTCCCTTGTGACTAGCCACCAACCGGACTGAACTCCATTCACCACCACCCTTTGGGCCCGGCCATCCAGCTGTTTTTTTACCCAGTGAAGAGAACACCCATCCAAGCCATGAGCAGCCAGTTTCTCCAGGAGAGTGCTGTGGGAAATGGTGTCAAAGGCTTTACTAAATTCCAGGTACAAAACACCCACAGCCTTTCCCTCATCCACTAAGCACGTCACCTTGCCATAGAAGATGAGGTTAGTCAGGCAGGACCTGCCTTTCATAAACCCATGCTGACTGGGCCTGATCACCAGGTTGTCCTGTACGTGCTGTGTGATGGCACTCAAGATGATCTGCTCCGTAACCTTCCCTGGCACTGAGGTCAGGCTGACAGGCCTGGAGTTCCCCGGCTCCTCCTTCCGGCCCTTCTTGTAGATAGGTGTTGGTACATACTAGCAGAAATACAGATTTGTATAACTAGTGCCATTTAAAAATAATTGTCAATATTATAGATGTCTTTCAGCTTCAGATTTTGTGGGCTTTATTTTTATTTTTAATGAGAACCTAGTTTGAAAGGAAACATTCATAGTTGTATAGTTAAGAAAAATACAGCTAACAAACCATCTTTATATTGTGGATTATTTTGCTACAAAAGGTATCTTATATTGGTGGTGTTGAAACTTTTTTCATACAATTTTAGAAAAGAAATTTAGTACTCAGTAAACATTAATAAATATGAGCGTAATAGAGTCAAGAGGTCATGGAATGGAATAACATCCATTTATTTAGCAATAGTTCTGTTATGGAACTTTGTTAGACATTTATTATTTTAAGTAGAACAAAAAAAAAAAAGAGGATCTGTAAAATATTTTTAAGTAGTGTTCAAGTATGTCTTTCATCAGTCTGTTGATGAACTCAACAGGCATTTGTTGGACAAAATTGTGTTGCTGCTGGATTTAGAATAGCACCAAAAGTTCATGAATATCGTACGTATATAAGTATCATAAGTATATCATAAGTATCATATCCAGTATTCCTGGAGGGCAGTAAGTAATATACCTTGACATCTGAAGTAGCTCACTAACAATTTTTATTTGCTTTGAAGTATCACTTACCCAGGTTATGCATAAAGCTTGTGGCAAGGAAAGGCTGTGCTCATTCTGCACATACATGTATTTATATCTTCAAATGTACAAAACAATCTGATGATTGTATTCCACAGATTGCAATTCTGAAACATTTGCTTTTTTTAGCTTTCTGAGAAAATGGATCTATTTGGGAGTTGTCTGTCATAATTCCAATCCCTTGTGCATTTAAGTAAAATAGTCTCAGCTATGTACTATGACATTGCATCTACTGTTGTTTGGGACAGAAAATGTCCTATAACTGTGTATTTTCTGTAGCTGCGTGCAAAATGAGGCCTCACATTTTGCTGTGGTTTCTGAGCAGGCTAGTATTGTAATAGAAATGTTGTATGTTAATAGCTGATGTAAACACTTATAAAACTTCTTAAACTTGTGACTACGCTTTTGTAGTTTTAGGACCAAACTGGCAGCTGCACTAGCAAGATGTCGCATCAAACATGGTGCTCTTTCAATTGAATACATTCTACCAGAAGCCATACGGAAGCAGGAACAAAGGGCTTCTGCTTTACCTCTATGTGTTTGGATAAACACATTTAAAATCAGGTAAGATCTTTAAAGTATCATTTAACATTTACGTTTTCACATATGAAGTGCTATAGTTTACTACATACTTGTTAAGTTTCTTACAGTAAGTAAGTAAATTCTGTTTAGTCCAGTGACATTGCATTATGTTTGTAGTTTTTATATACTGCAGTAATGGTATTCATAAACTGTAACCAAGTGTGAAACAGCTTTTCTTACTATTCAGTTGCTTCTGTGGGTCTTTCACCAAATAAACGAGGAAATAAAGTTATAAGAAAATATATGGGTCAGTAAACTCTGTGATGAAAAACAGAGAAAAAGAAAACTCCTTTAAAAGTGGGTGTATTACTGTAAGCCATAACCTTGGCAAAGAGTATTCAGTCAGATACAATATATAATACTGGTGTTTATTCTGTAATGATAACATAAACTTGAAATAAAAATACACTATTTAAAATCCTTCTACTTAGTGGGCTACTATGTATGGTGTTCCCAGTTCCGAACCGATCCATGAACCATACCAGGTTATACTGTTACCTGTTTTGTTAGACAGGTAATCCACTTTTTATAATGTTTTCAAGAATTTTGTTTTCATACTCTTGTCTTGGACCAATGTTCTGTGCTTAGGTTATAGGCTCTTTAGGATAGAGAAGGTGTCTTGTTCAGGTTGTGATTTTGCAACCCTTAAATAAGAGTGAACTAAAAGCGTTGATCCTATGTTCAATGTCCATGTAAGCTTATGGCACTGTCTGAAACTGCATTTCAACAAACAAGTCTTGGTGTGTATACCTTTAAATCTTTATGAAAATTGAATTGCAAACCTCACCATTTATGCCTTCATTACGTTTACACAAGGATTATTTCAGTTATCAAATTCATTGGCGAGCTGGGCTAAATTGAAAGCGATTGAAAGAACTAAACTATTGCAGCAGTAAATTTGCTACAGTCTCCTGAGCACACAGACATTTCTGTTTGGATGCGCTGAATCATCCTCTGGAGACACATCCCTCTTTCTTAATTTATTTTATCAGACTTACTAACTTAATTGTTTCAAACCAGAACTTGTATGCCTGAAATAGAGTGAATTCCCCTCCTGCATTAGGCAGTATTGCATTTCATACATCTATGTCTCTCCATATAAGCAATGTGAACTATTGCTTAAGTAACTGTTGTATATTTAATGCTCAGACCTGTATGTTAACAGCCCTCAAGATGTTTTCAGAGATTTGGAGAAGAAGGGATTCACAAGGGTTAAATCTGTGTCAGACTTCGACCGTTACACATACTGTATGGACCAACATTGCCATGATGTATTGTTTTTTCCTTCCTCTCTTAAAGACGAACTGCTTAATTTAGATCTTTTTGCAGATTGCAAACTCTTACTGCAGGTGAGTTGATGTTGCCCTTGAGTAATACGATCTTCAAACTAAAATAATGCTTTGCGTTTGAATGAGGTCATGTATTGTTGGACTGTCCTATTAAATCAGTCAGGCAGCAGCACACCCTCAAAAGGTTTTGGATGTTTTTAATAATCAGAAGGTAAGAAACTGATTCATGTAATAAATTTAGCATGCAAATGTTAATGCTTGTAATTGATAGCTACACTTAAATTAGTAAAATGGTTTAAATTTAATCTTAAAACTATTGAAATTAACATCTAAAGTGGTCAAAGAGGCAGTCTTCTGAAAAAATGTGAGGAAAATTTCTGTGTAACTCTACATGCATTACCTCCAGATAGGACAAGAGGAAATGGCCTCAAGTTGCACCAGGGGAGGGTTAGGTTGGACATTAGGAAAAATTTCTTTACCAAAAGAGTGGTCAAACATTGGAACAGGCTGCCCAGGGAAGTGGTGGAGTCACCATCCCTGGAGGTGTTCCAAAAATGTGTGGCTGTGGCACTTTGGGACATGGTTTAGTGAGCATGGTGGTGTTAGATCAACGGTTGGACTCGATCTCAGAGGTCTATTCCAACTTAATGATTCTATTATTTTCTGGAAATTTTAGCCTGAAAATTTATTACCAAATTCTGAATATCTCATTTCAAAGTGTATGTTTTGAATAGAAGACTTACAGAACTATACATGACAGCCCCTTAGGTCACCAGAACAACTTCTGACTATTACTATTACTATTTAAGAATATTTAGTTAGGAAACAGAACCCTCAGAAACTTCATCTCTATGTGGTGGGGTAGGGTAATACTTGAATGGTGTAAGTAGATACATAGATGTTAATGTGAACTTAAAAGGTTTAGCTTCCCCCCCCGCCCTTAACACCAGTATTTGCTGGATAGTGTGCAGAAGTTGGTACCCGTGGTCTGTATCTTCACTCTTTGCCTTTTTAAGTAAGTAATTTGATGGAGATAGTTTGATATGTAGCGCTCTCTTCAGCATCTGTAGTATGAGAACAGTTACCCTTGTAAATGTGCTTTCTGCATTCAAATTTGCTTCAGTGTTCAAATTTCAGCAAAATCTTAGTTTTTGATCCATAAGGGCTTAATTTCTTCCATAATTATCTTCAGGATCTGTGTGAATAGTTCTGCATTTCTCTGTTAAGCTGCCTCTGAGGATGAATTTTGCATATTGTGGCCTATGTTTGTCTTTCGTGGAACTAGTGGTCACTAAAAGTTCCTCCTTGTGGGGATGATATGTACTTAACATTTCACCTGTAGATAGCGTGCTTTCTTATTGCATTAGTTAGAATTAAATTATTTTAATTTAGTGAGTTTAACTTAATAAGATGCTCGGTTCTGTACTGTATTTAATTATTTAATTCTGTATTAGCAGCTACCTATGATTAGTTTTTCTCCTTCCCTCTTTCTGCTTTGTCATGAAAACAATGAAATACTTTCCTAATTGGGAAAGGAAGGTTGGCATTCACAGAAACCAAATTAGTCGGTCATATTTAATTTTGTGTCATTGTTTTCTAGGATAAGTCTCGCAGCCTTGCTGTACACTCTGCACAGGCACTGTTGAATACAGATGATGACATTATAGTGGCTCACGTAGGTTCCCATCTGACCATTGCCCATATGTCAGCGCTGACAATTCACATCGTGTCCAGAATATTTGTTTGTGGTGTAAAATCTTCAGCAAAAGCAGCTGAACTGAGGACCTTGTTCAGTCACATGGGATGTGAAAGTAGGTGTTGGCATACAGTTGGTATGCGTAAAGCGCTGTGATGTCGCTGTTTGTGATAGCTATAAATATGACATACTTCCATCAGGATTCAGAGATCTCTTGTTTGAGGATTTAGGGAGGGCAGTCGCAACTTGTTTTTTGCCACAAGGTGAACTGACAACTCTTCAGCTACGATCAAGTTAATCAAAGGTTGCAGGTTAACCATCAGGGATGCAAGCTCCTGAAACGTCAGGGTGAAGTTTCCCCTTATAAGTAGTTACTGTGTAATGGTTGGTGTAGCTGGGAACTTTTGGGTCCGTTTATTTGGAGTCTTGGCTGTTGCTGTCAGTCCGCTTTTCACCTGTTTCTGAAAGCATTAATCTGAAACGCACGCACTTGTCCAGCCTACCCAGAGGACACAATCAGAACAGAATACAACAGGGCTGTGCAGCCCCGTTAGCAGGCATTGCAGTGGAAGATGCTAAGGCCTAGTCCTTCAGTGTGTTGGAGATTAGTGGAGCGTGTTTCGGAGGATCTGGGTCTAGCAGGCCCTAGCTGTATGGAAGTCAGAGTGACACCACAGTCTCTTCACCTTTATCACACTGAAATTAGGCAGGCTTGCTTGCACGTTGACCTGTTGGGCTTCCCCCTTTTTCTTTTTTCAGATATTCAGTTGTTACATGAAGACTTTACTGAGATTGGACCAAGAGACCCGAGACTTCAAAAGGCAAAAGTTATTTTGCTGCTACCACAATGCTCTGGGCTGGGTGTTGGCAACCCAGTAGACTTTATTTTAACTGAGCACAGAGGTAACTTTTGATACAATAGCTAGCTCATGCTTTCTGGTAGAAGTAGTATTCACCTGTTGTGGTCTGGACATCATAGCTGCTTCAGTAAATTGTATCATTGTATAAAATACCCTTTCTTTTAGATTTTTATTTTAACTATTGTAAAACATATATTAAATAACTTGCATAATTCTGTATGTGTAAGGTACATGCAGGCTACTATGGAAATACAAAAGAGAATAAATAAATTACACGGATGATTTTTCCACGTGAAGTGAACAAGAATGTGATTGGCCTCAACAAGAAAACAAAATCTTTCTAGGTGCCACTGAAAGGTTAAGAGTGTTTTGTAAAGGCAATTTCAAGTCGATAGTATGAAGTTTGAGGGTTATTCTGGGGAGCAGAGTGCATATAGCTTTTGTTTTAAAGTAAAAAGACAATCGGTAGAAAACTTATTTCAAGATCCTAATGAGTGTATATAATTTTCCTTTGATTACATTCCTTTATCGATTGATTGTACAAGTCTATTCATGTACAATTTTAATTAAATAGAAACAAATAAGAGGCTGTAGTAATTACAGATAAAAAGGAATCATTTAGGCATTCCTTGGTATTGTCATTCATAAAACCTACCTTCCCCCTGAACTAGTAATAATCAGGTCTGTTACCAAAGGATTTTCTGCAAACAGCTGAATTTTACGACATTAATACAAGTTGCATTAATAAATTTACAACTCTTTGCATTTAGATGCAGGACTGCTAAGAGACCTTTTCCAAGGATCCGTATCTGAGGATAAGCTCAGTAATCTTGCCGAGAGGCAGCTTAATGAGTTGATGCACGCAATGAAATGTAAGTGTGCTGGCTCTGGGTTTGCTGGGAGCACCTGGTACTGTCAGTTCCATTGTTCTGCCACCAGTTTCTCTATAGTTAAAAATATGCCGATTACTCTGTTAGTTAACAGTGTGTATAACCAAACCCCCTAGATAATGATCTCCTCAAGCTTAAAGATGCATCTGTGACCTAGTATTCACCAGCCATTAAGACAAGAGTCTTCAGCGCTGTACAGAGAACTGGCCAAGTCATAGTCTGCGTTGGAAAAGTTGTAAACATGGTCTGACCCCTCTGCATGTGCCGGCTCCTTTGGCAGCTGGGTGAAAAGACAGGATGCAGCTCCGCATTTCTGCTGCAATCTGCACATACTTGAAAAGATTTTAATTATTAAAGAACACTAGAGATTGAATACTAATGTGTACAGCAGTATATATTTTATTGGTAAAGACGACATCCAAGCATATTTTTTTATGCTGGTTTCAGTCCTTACTAAACCACTGTGTGTATGAAGAATTTGAACAGTAGAAAAATTTTGTTTGTTTTGTAGTTAACAAAGTACAAGCTATCGTTTACTGCACTTGTTCGATTTACCCAGAAGAAAATGAACTAGTAGTGAAAAAAGCACTGGAATCTGGAGTGAAAGGAAGTAAAGTACAACCATACAGGTATGGAATGAGTAGTTTTATCTGTGGAAAAATGAAGTATAACTTTAAATGGTGGCATAATTCTTATCCTAGACTGATCTGTGTCTTGCATTAGATTAACATTTAAAATAGTTTTTTGCTGCTTCTCATTCCATTCCTTTTGATGTTGTGAGAGTACTAAGTAGCATCCTCTTGACTTTTTCATCTAATAGTTTTGTTCCCATCTGAAATTGAGGTGGGAGGAAAGCATCACTGGTTGATTGTGGTGAGCTTCTGACAGAGCTATTGCTTTCATCCTATCAGTATTCAGAGAATGAAGCTAGTTTAAGGTAAAATGGAGACTAGAAGTCAGGGAACTTCCTAGCATGCTCTCAGCTTCTCACCTAGAACCATCAGTTTCAAAGGAAAAAGAAACCAAGTCTTAAAATGTGAGAACGACATAGAAGAGTAAGAACTGCTGTAGGATTGCTCGTCCCTGTATTCAGATGAGTGACTTCTGGGAGGGGACAGGTTACAGTAAGAGAACATCCTGTGCAATCATAAGAAGTACAAATATATATGAAAAAAGTATGTGTTGTATACTTCATATGTAGTTAAAACCTGTCAGCTGTCACCCCTGTCAGCTGGAGCAATTATTTTTCTTTCAGTCACAGCACATAAATGCAAACAGTTGGCACTTGCACGTAGATGTAATAGTTGACTACAGGATGGAGGTTAAAAGAGTTTATGTTGCCAAAAGCACAGGAGAGTAATACTGTGGTTTTTTAGATTTTCTGTTACCTCAGATGATGTTAATGACTTGGCCGTCATGGGGAAGGGTACTGGGTTCAAGATACTGTTCAGTGGGTTTAAATTTTGCATGGTTAAAATGGTAAATGTTAATTGGGGCCAGTCCAAACAATTTTAACAAGAGGTATGTTACACATGGTGTTAAGGTGCAGTACCACAAAACGCATCTTTCTTGCAAATCACCGACAGAAAATAGCAGCCTGCTTGGAAGCTGATGCTACATGGGATGAAATCAGGGTATGTCCTGCCAGTGATGCTCTGCTAGTCCAAGATCATTTATGGACTCTTGCTGTAAACTGTGTTTTCCTTTGTTATTTGAAATTTTGTGACGTCTGTAATGCCTTGACCTGTATGCAGCTATTACTGTATGGGGAGAACTAGGGGGACCTTAGAACATAATGGTCTCTGAATTACTGGAACACAAACAATACATAAATTCATTATATATGTAACAGAATTTATATTTTTAAAAAAGTGAGATTTTTTTTCCAGAGCTTTAGTTTTTGCAGAAGAAAATTCCCCCTTGTCTAAAACATCCCCCCTCCCCCGCAAAGCCAAACCAAAGTCTATTCAGTGTTTTGCAGAAACATCATGAAACTGGTCATACCACCAAATTATACTTTTACTTTTAAATACAAGGCAATCTCGGATGGTAGGAAAGGGAGAATAAAATCACATTAGGATTTTTGCAGACCTGAGCAAATTAGTGACTGAAGACTGACTGAACTTCATAAACGACGATGCCAGAATCGGTTCTTCCTTCACGGCCGTGCATGTTATCCTGGGTGTTTCCATGCATAGTTCTTGCTACAATAAAGCTGCTGGTAACCAGCATAAACAGAGCAGTAATAGAACACCATAAATAAAACATAGAGTGGGATTATGCGTGTTTTAAGATGAAAGCTCAAGCCATTTAAGATGCGTGTACTACTTACAACAGTTCCTTGTACACTTTCCTTAGAATTAATTAGGTAACTTACTTGACTAAAAGAATGCAGGATAGAATGAAAAACGCTGTTGGAGAATTACTAGCCTGGGTTGACAGCAGTGTCCTTGTAAGGCAAGTTGTACTAATAAAACAACCGGTGTGATCACCACAGATCTACTTAATAGTAGTTTTCTTTTCCAAGAAAATTGAGGGCTTTCAAGAAACTCTTCTGCCAGTTGTGCTTAGGTGTATTATCTCTTTTGGAATTACTCAACAGTGCTGGAGTGGTGCTGAACCAAAATGAGGCTGTGCTGGAGTTTGAGGTCATACAGCTGGTTTTAGGTCTGTGAAATTGTAAAGGTGATTTGAAACACGTACCCACTGTCTAAACTGAGCTTACCTTAAGGACATGATGGTCTATAGCAAAGGCTTTACCTTACGTAAGGGCACATGTTGTGAATAGGTGTGTATAGAGGAGGCGTCCACTGTTCATGCATTGCCCTTTGGCCTATCGAATTTGAGTTGGCATCTGCATCAGGGTCAGACCATCCGTTAAAGGTAACAGTAACCTGCATGTCTCAGACAAAATGAAGCGAACACGTCTTTGCATTGAATGACCAGATCTAAAAGCAAAAGTCTCCGATGTGTCATAGGACAGTTTTATTTAGCAGTGCAAGGAGGATGTGAGCTAGTAGTCTGTTTTACCAAGTTCTGAGGGACATACAAAAAATCCAGATGACGGTGAAGACTTGGGAGCCAGCAGTTTTGCAGACTTCCCATTAGAAATGGACTAGCCAGCCAAATCAGGGCATTGCTTACAAATATAGGATGTGCTTCTGTGTAACCGTAACCGTCATTAAAGCTCCGTCTCAAGAGGATCAGTGGAGCACTGAGGAGGGGCTGTATCTTACAGTCCTCAGCGATGTGAAGAGGAGGGGGTAATAATTGCATGAGGACATTTTGCTAGGCTTTTCCTGTACTGAAACAGCTTAGCACTAGTTCAGCAGCCTGATGAGCCAAGTCCTTGAGCCTGTTTGTAACAGCTAGGGATGACCGGAGTACAGGGAGAACATGAGCAAAGGCTAGTTCTTCCTTCCTTCCTGATGCACTGCAAAACTGTAAATTTGAAAAAACAGCACTCAATTATTACAAATAGGCAAATTTTTCTAACTGAAGCTTTTCAGCTTAGATAGATGTATTATTTATCATGAGCATACAATTAATAACTCAAAGTCAACACCTCTGCACTTTCTGTGTACTGCTTAGTGTTTTCAGAGCATCCCCCAACTTCATGGACCTGAGAAGGAACATAGTTTTTAATTATGTTTGTGGTTAATATACTTAATTATTGGAAAAAATAAATTAAAGATATCTAAAGAGATAAATTCTCACGTCCTTCTTGAATAGCCGTTTTTAAAAATGAAGCTAAGACTCTACAAGACTGTCCATGAAAGATATCATTTGGAAATTACTTTCAATATATCCCTGTTTATTTTTATCCTTAAATATTATTTTCTGGTAATTTGTTTATTTTTCACAGGCTTATTCCTCCATTTTTTTCTACTTGCTCCAATTCAGAGTCTTCTGAGGTTTTTTTCAAAATAGAGCCATCAGAAATTTCCAGTGGCTGTTTTCTAGCTATTCTAGCAAGAGAGGTAAGCTACGAAAATCACTTAAAACACTTGACTTAAATCACTTAAAAACAATTCACAGAAAAAGAATATTATTGCCCTCTTCCATAAGAGAACATAAGAAATGGAACACTTTTTAAAAATTGTGTCTTAAGAACAAGGACTAGGTGAGCAGTTGAAATGTGCCACTTGTGGAGTTTTATGCTGAGCACAGCTTTCCAACACGTGCCTTGTCTTCTGGAGCTGTTGGTGTCAGAGCGATCTCCTGACCCAAGGCAGTGCTAGGACCATCTGGAGGAAACACCCTGTTCACAGCCCTTGCAGTGAAATGCGCAGCTTGGTTAGAGTCACGGTAAACCCTGTCCAGTAGAGTTACTTGTTAGTCTGTACGTGTCACCAAGATTTTCCAGTATCCAAGCAGGCAGTGCCACCGGTAGGGATTAAGACTTCATTATAATTTGAATAAAATAGGTACGAATATGTTTCCTTCCAAAAGGAAGGCATATGCAAATCTAGCTTGAAAGGCAGGGGGTTTTTGCTGAGTAAAGGAAAACCGTTGGCAAGATTCCTGAGGAGAGGCCTTAAAGGGCTAGTTTGCATCTCTAAGCATCCACGTTTTACTCTTGCGTCTTAGAAAAGTAGGGCTTTTTTCACCAAAAGATGAAGAGGGGGAGCTAATTATAATTTCATTGAAAATTAAAGATATGAGATATTATTTGTTATTTGTACCACTTTCTGTCGTGCTGCAATTACGGCGCTTGAAAGAAGCTTGTGTCTTGGGGGAAATTAGAAGAAGATTTTATTAAGAGTGAGAGAATCACACATGAAAAGCCTTTCAAGTTATCTATTACTGACTCCTTTCTTTTCAATGTGAAATGTTTTTTAACCTGGCTCCCTGAGCTAATAAGTTTTAGTTAATCATGCTGTGCACATCTGTCTACCATATTGTCTCCCTCCAGAAGAAGAAACACTTTTGTTTCAGGTCGCTGATTTGAATGATTTTTTAGTCAAATTCTAATTCACAGAAGCAATTGCTCCTACGGCCAATTTTTAGGTGATTCTGGAAATGAATATTTTCCGCAAGGCAGAAAAATGTGTATTTATAATTTAAACTGAAATTTCTGATTTACAGCAACCCTCTTCTTGGCTAGTTGTAAATAGTTTCTTCCCCATTGGTTCTCCTTACATACTTGGATGTTGACCTGTTCCTAGTTAATCTAGTTTGAGAGTTTCTTGCTTATGTATTACAAGCAAGGATTTTCATTATCATGAAAATTATTCATGTTTAATGTTATTGACAATATTTCTGTATTTTAGTAACTATTTCTGATACACACTTCTTTATTTATGTATGTATGTGCATGTCATTACAGACATGTTACAGAGGAAGTTAATGTGGGAGACATGTAGGACAAAGTCCAGAATTCAGTTTCCCCTCTTCAGGCCTGTAGAGGGCCAAGTCTCTGAAGAGCAAATGTTCAGATACCTCTTTACACAACATTCATGTTCTTAATTTCTTGAATAAATAGTCTGGTTAGCATTTATCATGGTGTGACTTAAGTTTTTCTGCTAGATTCTGCCATAGTTTTCTCGTGGAGTAAATTCTGAGGAATCTGAAATTAAATTATTGAGTTTGCAGCACTGTGTTGTGGCTTAGATTCACTGTTCTTTCCTTTGAAATGTTCAGAAAGATTCTTCCGAAAGTGTGTCTGTTAAAGACACTTTGGCTCGAGCTGCAGCAAAAGGACTACTAGACAACATTGTTGTCAGAAAACCAAAGGGAGGGGTGAAAAAGCAGAAAGGAACACAACGTAGATGTAATATTCCTGGTAGTTGCACAGAGCTGAAGACTGCTGAGTTCCTTCGCCATCAGGCTGTATCGAAGGTCAAGGCTGAAGGTTCCATGTTCAAAACAGTCAGTAATGCACAGCAAAAGAACGTGACCCGACCGAAGAGCTGTGTTCAGCTGAAGAAATCCACCGACCCCGTTTCAGACACAGCTCTGCCTAAAGGGCCGCAGCACACGCCTCGCTTGTCCCCGGTGGGCCAGGCGTGTGACAGACCGGCACTGGCCGGAAAGGCCCGCGCAGAACAGGAGAGGGTTGCGCTGAAGCCCGCGGAAATTGTTTTGCCTCCCGTGATGGCCCCGTCCGTACGCTGGCACGGGAGCAAACCCAGGCTCCCGACTCCTCACGGCTTCCATGGCTGGACCGGAGCCAAGGCTGCGAGCGGCAGGGTGCTTCCTCCGCCGCTCTCTGCAGCGGTCAGGCCAACTGTGCTTAGCCATCCTCGACCGTGGCGGTAGGAATCTGCTGACTTGGCCCTGCTTTTAAGGTAAAGATTCCTGTATATATTAATCAGTACACCTAGATTACAGTATACCTTTATGCAGGATAATCTTGCTGTGGGAAAGAGATATATTATGGGATATTTGCATAGAAATAGCCATGTAAGTTATTTTTAAGCCAGTAATCACATTTTACTGGCTTTTAATTTTTAATTTAAAGTGAATGGAGCTCAGCTGCATAAGGCTGATAGACCGTTGGGAGGAGCGAGGACAAAAAACTATAGGTTCTTGCTATACGCTTTAAATTTTTTTAAAGTGAGACTGCATGCTGTGGTGGCTGTTTCTCTGTACAACTGCTGGCTACCATTTTGTGAGTTACCATTTAGACTGTGACACACGGAAGCGAAGCCTTGCCCAGTAAGCCAGTTAGCTCACCTTTACTTGTAAAAGTAGATGTGAACTTTTTTACAGGCAACTGGCCAAGTACACTAAAGCCCATGCATAGGCTTTCCAATACTTATTCCCTTGGTTTCTACTCAGGTGTGCTTCAAAATACTAACAATGAAGACTAGATAAAAAAATTCTCATTCTAAAAATACTGAATTGTCATCATCATGTCATGTCAGACTATGTCATGGCTCATAACTGCTCTTCACCAACTTTTTTAACATAAGCAGTTCTTAGTTGAAAAGGGCTGCTACTGTCAAAGTAAGTTATTGCTGTAAGCGTTGTGCTGGTCAACTGAATAGTGACTGAACACAGAGTAGTTTGTCTGTCTTTGGAAACAGCTGTGGGCTTCTAACCTGCTCCCTCTTACTAGCAAGTATAAAGTAACTGTAAAATATCTGTAATTGTCTTATAACCTGAGCAGAGGATAAAAGGGATTCACAGAAACACTTTTTCAATAGTCTGATTTAGTATTAAATATGGACAGTGTGAAGGAGGCAAATGACATACAGTGACAGAATGACAGCAAAGGAATCTCAAGAATTGTACTTAGATTAGAAGTGGTGCAGCATAGCAAAAGTGGCTGTGGCCCAGAAGAGAAGTTTTCCTTTAGGCAATTTAAGACACTTGCCAAGAGAGTTGCCAGTAGTGTTGACAATATGGTATGGAATCTTAACCTATTTGACATTATGAGTCTGGATTTAGACCCATCCAGAGAAAATGTCTTCACATCTCTCTTTTTTTCCTCACCCACACCAGTCAATGTAGCTGAATCAGCACTACAGGAGTGGTACAGCACTACAGGAATGATACTGCACTACAGGAACGATACTACACCAGCACCGTAGCCAGCTGCCTCTTGTTCATTAGAAAAGTATCTTTCCTTCACTGAATTGGTGAAAATTTCTTTCAGCATTTTAATCTGAGCCAGCTTCCCTGTTCAGAGGCATCACTCACCTGCTGCACATCCCTGTGAGTAACCCGTGCTTCTTACCTCTTCCAACAGAAGGATGAGCTCTGCTCTTTATTCTGTCAAACTTGTAAGGATACATCTAGGCCTGTGCACATGCAATGCACAGAACTGAAAAAAAAAAAAAGGAAAAATCCTCTATTTTATTTCAAAACCATAGAGGAGAGATTCTATATGTTAGATAAAAGGAATAGACAGTAAAGGGATTTGGTTTGTTTTGGGGTTTTTTTGAATATGGTTGTTAAAAAGCTAAAAACTTAAGAGATTCTGCAGTTAGAGAACTAAACTATTTTTTAAAAATCAAAATCTGTATCATTCATTATTAAAATAGAATTAAAATTACTTCTAAAAGAACATACACGTGTCTGGTAACAGAATTTCTGCGCTACTTACGTAATAGTGTCTTGTCCCACAGTCGGCCTCATCTTGCTTTCAGGAGTTTGTGTCTTTGAAACATCATGGAGGCTCAACCAGTTAGAGTCTTGACGGCTTACCAAGGGTATCAAAGAGCTGGTAGTGAAGAATTTGATCCTGCAGGTCAGCAGCTTACTTTGTAAGCACTGAACATCACACGGTGGCGACATCTGGGACTGACTGCAGGTGGCTTGTAGGTAGAAGCCTGTATGCTCAGTTAAACGCCCGATGACTTTTTCCAGTAAAGCTGTTTCTTATGTAACTGGTTTTCTCTAATTCAGTTAGGTGTTTGTAATCTCCAACGAGAAACTGTCCATTCACCTTCCCAGATACAAAAGTGTTCGTTGTACTGCTCTGGCCTCTAAACCACCAGTATTTTTTCCCTCCCCTCAATCACAGTTTGGAACAAAAGAAATAATTTCCCAGTTTCATGGACCAGTAACAACTGAGACAAACATTTTATGCAGCTAAATTTATTCTCAGAACAGAGATTACATTTAAATGTGAAGTGGTCAACAGCAGGGAAAATTGTCCTTTTCGGTGTCAGTCAGGTGCTTTACGTAAGTCTGAACTCTGCTAATGAACGGTGGGTGTGTTTCCTTCCTTCTTACTGCTGTTAAAGTAAATCAAACCTGCTTTTGCTGACTGTACAGCCCAAGTTTTAGCAATGTATTAATTAACCTGCCCAAGAAAGGAGTAATGGGGTTAATGGTAACGCTGAAAGACTGAGCCCGTATTAGCTGTTGAAATAAGAAAGTTCCGTTTTCCATGGGTGATTTACTAACAATTTTAGATCCCTAGTCAAATGATCTATGAAATGCTTGATAAAATGAAAAGAAAAGGGATGCAGAACTCTTAGTGACACAGAACTGGCGTAAGCTGTTAGGTAACTCCATAGTTTTTGTTCCTCTGTCAGGAAGGGGCATGTTGTTTCAGCAGGTACAGGTGACTGCACACAAAGCATACGACGAAGAGCTCGTTTTGCTGTGAATGGATTCTGGCCCTTCCGTGCAATTTTTGTCACTCCTGTTCAGGCACCCTGGAGGTGGCCTCTGTAGCCTTCTATCTCCCACACCCCCTTGCTCCCCTTCAAATGAAATGGTAAGTGGCTTAAATAAAACCTACAGCCAGCACTGCAAATTTCAAAAGAAAGGCTTTTATCTCTTAAGTCGTTGACTGTGAATATAAACTGCCTTACTTCTGCAAGGGAGCATGTTAATGACATGACTGACATGCGATACTTACCTCTAACTTACTACTTGCGTTGAAAAAAAAATAAGAAATTAGCTTTGCTTTTACATGATCTTTCTACAGACTTCCATAAAAATGTGACTACAAATAATTACAAAGCCTGCCTTTTTTTAGGCAACCTAGAGTATACAGAGTGGAGAATGTTACAAGAGCACATCCAGTAAAGACAATACATCAACATAATAATGCAGGATATTTCAGTAAAAATAGAATAAATAAAATAAAAATATTTTAAGCTGTATTTAACAGGTTAATTTAGAATATGGCATCAGACATACAAGGCATAGTCAACATGGCTGCCTGTCTACAGAATCACTAGGTATTATAAAAAAATGCATAGATAACTGAAGGGTCGCTATAACGTCAACTAAAACACTGGCAGTTGCTCAAACACACATACCCCATACATAGTTTTTTGGCCATGGTAAAAAGAGTGTCTTATATATTGTTTAACGAACGATAACGGGCTTTGCAGTATTAGGCTCTGATTCTGCAATCACCTGGGTGTATATTTAATCTTTTGGAGAATAAGGAGCTCTACTGAAGCAAAAAGGCCACATACAGTCAGACCATTAAGCACACTACTTAAGTATTTGCAAAATCAACATCATTTTGTTAACAGACACAAAACTCTTAAAACATACATCGGCAAGTGACCTACAGCTTGTCAAACACCTTTCCATCTTCTCCTCAGCCCTTTCTGCAATTAACTGCACGCTTTGCTAGTGAAAGCTAACTGGGCACTCATTGCCTTGCCAACGCCGATGCAGAACCTTTACACTTCGCTACGTGTTGGTCTAGTTTGAAGAGAGTCCGGATCTCTCTTGGGGAGAAGCAGCACTGTGCAGATGCAACTACAAAATTTGATTATACTGTTTAAAATTTACTGTTGTAGAACAGTTGCAAATCTCAAATCCTGGCGCTTCCAGCTGGAACTTTAAAAAGACAGTGTCAAAGAATTTTCTGTAATTTAAAATAAAATAAAGTCGGACTTTGAATGACTAGCACGATGACGAGTAAGGAAACTTTTTCTCTCAACTTCACGGTCCTAACTCAAGGTACGCTGTTAGCCACCACACTGACAGCAGCCGTGACGGGAGGGGAGTTTTACGCTGCTCCTCGCAGCCGTCTCTGGGAGCCGTCGCAGGAGCTCACCAAGCACGTACGCAAGCTGCCCACCTTTTACAAAGCTCCATGCCTCGCGGTCTGCCTTCACGGTCAGTTCAAACCGCCGGTACTGCCCAAAGGGGTCGGTTTGTTTGCGCCCCCTCCCCTCCGGCCTGGGTCCTCCCTGCCTGCTTGGCCTAAGGACCTTCTCCTCCAGCTGCACCAGCAACATGGCTGCTGCAAGGGCGGCAGCAGGACAGCGAGCCTTGGGAGGAGACACAACTGCTTCAGTGCCAGGGGTGCAGGATGGGGGTCAGACAGAGACTGGAGATCAGTGGGGATCAGCTCTTCAGAGGCTACTCTAGAGAGCTGACTTTAGTTACAAGAGTTGCAGAGCTAGCCTTCACCTGACGCGTGCTCATACAGCACGCTGAGTTTAGTTCAAGGATTTTTCTGCATTCTTTCAGTGCAGAAATTTCTTGAATCATCATTCTTCTCTCCCCTTGTGTTCCTAAGTTGCTTTGCCCAGGTGCTGTTGTTAATTTTTTTAAACAAAGAAATAAAACAGTCTGTTTATAACAGTCTCTTGCATAGTGAAATAAAAAAAAAGTTTCTTGTAAGAACAACCTTGCCAATGTCCTTTTACAATGACAGCGTGACCAGATTTGCAGACTTGGGAGACAGTTACAGTTTGGAACATATCTGTAAATGGAGGCAAAGCATTTTTAACACTCGTTAAAAGTATCTTTAACGTTCCATTTCCAAAATTTGTACCAATCTGCAGGTCTAGACAGAAGATGGCACAGGGAGACTCAAAATGCAAAACTGC